CGCAGAGCTCTGGAGCCGTGGCTAGGGCCTGATTTGCAAGGCTGTGCTGGCGAGTAGTTAGGCATTAACTCCCCTTCTCCGGGGGCTTGTTCTGGACTCACGGGGCATCCCCCAAGGAGCCCAGGCCTGCTTTTAAATGGACCTGCGCACTTTTCCAGGCTCAGTCTGGGCCCTTGCCTGGGGGAAGGCACAATTTTACTGAAAGGGGCAGTGGTGAAAGTAACTTCACATTTCTGGCAGGTCCTGTCCTATTGCAACCCAGGTCCCTGCCAGCTCTTTCAATAGCTCCCTGCTGGCTTTTGCCGCAGCTCAGCCAGCTCTTGCCGGAGTGGCACACCCGCTTGCTTTCACCTCGGCGTAGTCTTAGGAACACTAACGCTTAGCACATCTGAAGATTCAAAACAGGAAAGTGCTGTCTTGGCATTACAACAAGGAGTCCTGTGGCACCCTAAAGCAGGGCTACTCAACACACAGCCCACGGCGCGGTTTGGGTTTACGCGGGGCTCAGCGTGCAGCCCGCAGATGGGAGCCAAAACAAAAAAGTCAATATAATGGCTTTCTGTTGATATGTGTTTTAGTAGTTAAATTCCTAGACTGTCATTGCCCATTAAAAGTGCTGTCCTATGGGTAGAAATCGGGGAAATGTTGCCTTTTATTAATAGCAGCAGAACTGACTTAAACAGGGCCTGCGTGTTGTGTAGTCTTGCCTCAATCTTTGTATTCATGCCTGTCAGTGTGAAAAGTTATTTGCGTATATTTGCATGTATATGCAACCACACTTAAGTTGCGGCCCTCGGCATGTGCTGTGAGTATCACTGTGGCCTCCAAGGCTTCCAAAGTTGAGTAGCCCTGCCCTAAAGACTAACACATTTATTTAGAATAGTGATAGAAATGTAGCCGTGTTAGTCTGGTGTAGTTGAAACAAAATACAGGACTATGTAGCACTTTAAACATTTATTTAGGCATTAACTTTCGTGGGCAAAGATCCACTTCGTCAAACGCACACAAGCTGATGCCCAAATCAATCTTTAAGGTGCCACAGGACTGACTCCCTGTTGTTTTCGCAGATACTGACGCACACAGCTACCTCCCTGATATTTAGGAATTCCTCTCCTTGGCCCCAGCCCTTTGCTGCCCAGTGGCATGATCCAGACTGGCCTGAGTCTGAAAAGAAAGTACGGTCATAGAGCCCTCTCCAAAGTGTTCAGACAACAGCAGCTGGAGCCAGATAAATGGGAAAGTCACTTTACGGTCAGGAAGCTGATTCGCCTCCACTAGCCTATAAATAGAAGGGGATCTGTCACTTTAATAGGATGGTCATAATTGCTCCAGCCATTGCTGGTGGCTGAGTTTGGCCTAATTGCCTTGGCCAGAGCAATCCAAAGTGTTAATGCTCTTCAGCTCCAAGTCCCCAGTGGCTCACAGCCGGTGTTCTCTGCCAGTGCAGCCAGGAAGTGATCTTGTCAATTACTGAGGCATAAGGCTGTGGAAGGGCAGTTTCATTATCCCCAGGGCTGGACTGACTCTGTCTTGAAGTCACTTGAATAGGTTACAGCTGGGAGCTATAGCCGGCTGCAGTCATGGAGCATAAGTGCGGAGCTTCTTAGCCGAAGTTGAAATATGCCAGTGAAAGATGGAGGGAGCAGATCAGTCATTTATCGAACACTTTAGGCCTGCTTCTACACTCTCCAAATCAGGAGTGACTCCGCTCAAGTCTCTCCTCCGTCCTGCCCTATCCCGTAAGGCAAAGGCTTTGGGAGTGGTGGAACAGGAATGGGGCAGGGCTGGGGAATCTAGGTGCTATCCGGCACCTCTGCGCCTCCCAACTGATGCAAAGAGCAGAGAATACACCTCAGTTGTTGGCCTATGGTCTGTCTCTTAAAACCCCCTACTCACCCTTTACTTGCATGTCCAAACACACTCCAGTCCTAGGAGCTGGCTTTAATGGGCTAACGTAAGCCTCACGTAGACCTTAGTACACAACGTTGTACTTAACACAGGAACCCACCAGCATTAGGAACTGGAGGTAGCTAGGTATTGTACCATCTATCCCAGCAATGAGCAACCCAAGCTATGTCTAGACTACGTAGAATTTTCGAAAGAGGATATGCAAATTCCACAGAAATTTGCATATCTTATTCCGATCTCACTTTCAAAAGAGGATCTTTCGAAAGTGAAAGTAGTCTGGACACGGTTGTTTTCAGGAAAAAAAAAACCCTTTTCCAAAAAAACAGCGTAAACCTTTTTTTAAGGAAGAGCATTTTTTTCGAAAAAGGGTTTTTCCAGCTATGTCTAGACTACGTAGAATTTTCGAAAGAGGATATGCAAATTCCCATGGAATTTGTATTTCCTCTTTTGAAAATAAACATAGTTTAGATGTACCCCTAGGCAAGTGAGGGAGCCACATGGGTGGCCTTCCTTTATCTCAGTGGGATGCAAGATTGTCCTAACCAAGGTGGTTGTCTGGGATAGGGCAGTTTGTCTCATTGTGCTTGTGTACCTAGAATTCACGGGATGTGCTGATTGGACTGTAGCAGCGCGGTGATTGGAGGTGGAGGAAGCATGCAGGTCTCATAGTCATTATGTGCAATCACTACACACCGCACTTCATGTGCCCTTGCTTTACATGCATGTCACTTGAGTAATTCTGGTAGGGAAAAATTACGCTGGCAGAATCTTGCATCTTTGTGTGTGGACAATAGCAAACAAAATGTCTCCCGGGCCCCACATAGAACCCCAATGGGCTGCATTCAGTCTGGGGGGGCCCAGGCTGCCCACTGCTGCTCTATCCTCTCCTTCGCACAAATCTAGTGAGCTGAAAAACACATCTGCTCCTGCTCTTGTGCTCTCAGGATTTAAGCTGGCCCCAAGCACCACCCCTTTTCGTTCCTCAGAGGTTACCTGATCTCCCACCCTTGCTGCTGCGTGGAGGCTGCTATTTCATGAAAGCAGCCGTGTGGATTGAATGGCAGCAACTGTCTTTAAATCAGAGAAGCGGTTTCCTTTTGGACTTCACTGAGGCCTGAATGCTGGCGATCACAATCCGGGAGAACTAACCTGTCCCAACTGTGTTCCCAAGCCGGGCTAGTAATTTAGTGTCTGCAGCTGCTGAGGTGGACGCGGTGGGCAGACTAGAATCAGGAGCTTCCAGTACATGTTTGCATTTGCCATTCAGCACGGGTGTGTCTTGGCGCTCCTCCAAACTCAGACTTCCCTCCTGAAACACACAAATGTTGCTCTGTACTCATCCATATGTTTTCTTGGAGGGAGATATTAAAAGGACGCCTTCCCTTTCTTTCCCCTGGACACGTGCCATAAAAACATTCCCACCCAGAAAGCTGAGTTAAGCAGTGCATCTTTCCTGTCGAGACATTAGTGTGAACACCCAAACACATACAGAGGACACAAATAAGGCTCTTAAAAAGACCTCAGCCACCTCTCTGTAAGCAACTGTTGGGTAAAGTCTGTTTCCTGTGGTTATTTTTTTTTAACGAATTGCCCTTTTAGACACAGCACAATTGAC